AGGAAGTGATGCCATTTCTAAATTTATATGAGTCACACGGTTTTTTATCTGTTTCTCCAGATCCAATCGTCGATTGTTATATATTTTAAACTTTTCAAGAGCGAGTAACTTCTCTGAAATCGACCCTTCCTTTGCTCTGATTAAATCACTCACGTGATCGGAATATTCTCCGTTGTTTTGGAAGTGTCCCAATAAAGAACTCATTTCTGCATCAATTTTTTCATATAAGAATTTGTGATTGTTATTATTGTTGATTTCTTTAATGCTGATGCTGTTGTCAGTCTGACCGTTGAAATTATTTTTAAATGGGCAACTCTCTCTATTTTTACGTACAACGTTTTGCTTAACTGAGTTTTTCTTTGTATATGCTCTTTCGAGTGCCAACTTTTGTTGCAAATAAAACCTCTTGCACTTATGTTTATGAGGAAGTGATGCCATTTCTAAATTTATATGAGTCACACGGTTTTTTATCTGTTTCTCCAGATCCAATCGTCGATTGTTATATATTTTAAACTTTTCAAGAGCGAGTAACTTCTCTGAATTCGACGCTTCAGATTCCTTTGCTATGATTAAATCATTCAAGTGTTTGGAATATTCTCTGTTGTTTTGGTAGTAGCCGAGTGCAGAGTTAATTTCTGCATCAATTTTTTCAAATATGAATTTGTGATTGTTATTATTGTTGACTTCAATGCTGATGCTGTTGTCAGTCTGACCGTTGAAATTATTTTTAAATGGACAACTCCTTATATTATTACGTACAACGTTTTGCTTAACTGAGTTTTTCTTTGTATATGCCCTTTCGAGTTCCAACTTTTGTTGCAAATAAAACCTCTTGCACTTATGTTCACGAGGAAGTGATGCCATTTTTAAATTTATATGACTCACACGGCTTTCTATCTGTTTCTCCAGATCCAATCGTACATTGTTATAGGTTTCAAATTTTTCAAGTTGGGATTGCTTCGCTGAAATTGGCTTTTCCGAAAGTCTACTTACAAGTAACTCAGTGAAAAAATACGAAAACTCAAAGTTATTTTCGTAATGCCCGGATTGAGTCTCAATAAGTGCATCCATTTTCGCTAGAATTGATTTCTCATCCTGTGAATCCTGTAAAAAGTGATTTTATTATTAATTCGCACAAATGTAACTTATTTCTTTGAATGTACAGCCAGTATTCCATGAAGTAAAATAATAATAATCCAGTTGCAGCTCATATTAGTGTTACTTGTAGGCATTCTCTATGTAAACTAAACACCGAGCACCGAAGAATATACTTATATGGACTTACCTAATTACATTTGTTACGGTTTTACGCAATCAAATAAATTGAAAATAATTAAAATGAGGAACGAATTAATTTGAAGCTCATACAGTAGTTGAAATATTTATAAATTCTGATACCCATATATGTATATATATTTCCATTGAAGAGGTAAAATCAGGGTGTAAGTCTTTTATTAAAAGCGCGGCGAGCTGAGTCGATTTAGCCTTGTCCATCTTTCCGTAAGTTTGAATGCGTCGATCTCAGAAGATATAACAGCAAGAGACTTGTAGATCCGTGTATTTATGCATAACGAGTTTGCTTACAAAGTTCGACAGCTGCTCCCAATATTATGTTATTAATTAAAAAACTTTTCGAAAATCAGTTTTAAAATTATATCTCCCAGATCTTTAGAAAAATAATCTGTTGCACATTTGCAGTTATACAAAAAAACTTCCTTTTGAGAACTAGACGTAAAAGAGAATTTCCACTGAAATTTTAATGAAAATTTGTTATGAAATCAAATACAATTGTCAATGTTGGAATTTCACTTTAAGTGTAACAAAGAACAAATAATATCCTGTTTGGTTTACTTTCTCAACAGTTTTATGTGTTTTGCAAACTGATTTTCGGGCAGTGACTCACTCACTCAATCGCTCAAACAACTCTGCATTCATTGTGCTCTATGCTTGCTCATTTCTAGTAAACAAAGCAATTTATAGACAACTATTGTTGCTATTTTCAGCTAACATAGTGAACCACTTAAGCGAAAGTCTAGAAATGTTGCCATACCATATACATATATTTATGCATATATGTGTGTCTCTTTATGTTTGTATGTGTGTGTAGAGTAGTAGGAACGGGGGACGGGTGAGGGGGTGTTCGAACACACACTGACGCACTCTAATCACACCCACTTCAATTCACTGCCAAGCTCGTGCTCTTTCCTCTTTTCTCTTTCTTTTGCACTTATGCATTCACTTCGTTGCACGCGTCGTCAATGCGCACAATGTGGGCGTCACTTAAGTGTGTGTGTGTGTGTGTGTGTGTGTGTGTGTGTGGGCGTGGCACTAAATGACGCTGAGTGCACATTGCCACAATTCTTGGGCAATTGTTGTAGTAGTTGAAGTTGTTGCCGCTGCCGCTGCCGTTGCTGTTGCTGTTGCTGTTGCTGTTGGTGGCATAATTTACATAGCAGCAACACTTGAAACAAACCGTTGCATACAAAGGCCACACAACTAAGTTGAAGTGGTTTCGGAGCTTGGGCAGAGAATCTCTGGGGTGACGGTGGGAATGCAGAATGCTCTGCATGTTTTATGATTAGCGCAATTTAGTGCACTTCAAGATGCTTAACCCATGGTGTATATGTAATGCCTAATTAGCGACAGAGCTAAAGTTTTTCATTGCAATAGCTAACCGCAGGTCATACGAAAACCGCGAAATAGACGCACAGACAGTGAGAGAAAAACAACAACAATAGAGCAACAGAACAGCAGAGCAACAGCGCCAGCGACTCAATGGCCCAACTTCAAGCTACAAATTTGTTTGGCTTTCGGTTTTCACCAGATACCCACAGACGCCAGCGGCAACAAAACCGCAACAACAACAACAGCAGCAGCAGCAGCAACAACAACGACGGGACAGCTGCAATTGCAGTTGCAGGATAGGTAAGCTGCGCGTACGATGCAAAGCACGATAATTGACCTGCAAGCGAGCGAGTGCCAGAGTATCTACAAATGTGCGGGTGTGTGTATGTGTAGGTGTATGTGTGTATGTTGGCCCTGCTGCAACTGCGCACCAACTTTCGCTTTGATAAAGGACCTTGGCGTCAAGTCGAGTCCTTTTGGCGGCAACGAGGCATGACCTCTGCTCCATGCCACATACTAAAACTACGTTGGATGGGATGGCCACCCGCCGTGCACCATACTTTTTTGTGCTTTAAAATGCAGGTATATTTAAATAAGTGTGCGTGGCTACAAAATCAATTCACATTTATAATCCAGCAGAGAATTATTCTAGAGGAGCTGTCTAAGGAACTGTCAATAGGCACAGACGAATTCAATTTGTGATTGAACAAAATTAAGCTATCTATAAAATCTACTCAAATGTCTTTCTGCTCATAATAGAATCCTATCTAGAACATTTACTCTTGCATTCAAGAAAAATATCTATGAAATTACCTTGCTTTCTTTTTAAGTCAACACATAATACCGTCTCATGACGATTTGAGCACCCGAGGCGACTGAAGACATCAGTTTGCGGTGAATGCGTGCCGACAAAGTTTGGCTTAAGGCATTTTGGCTAAGAGCATATCAAAAACAAAATAACCTGCCAAATGCTGCTTAGTGCAGAAATCTCCGAAAGCAAAACAAAAATGTTGAAACAATAAAGAAAGAAAGCCAGAAAAAACAACAACTTATTCAAGCGCATTAAGCGAAAAAAAGTTGATGTTTTGTAAAGAGTGAAGTAAAAACAAGTAA